AAAAAAAAAAAAAAAAATTATGAGAAACTGTTTACTATTTACTTTTTAGACTCAAGAAACTATTTTTATTTTTATTTATTTATTATTATTTTTTTTTTTTTTGTAGGGAAGAAAAAAGTAGAGAGTCAAATCAATCCCTATCTTGCTACAGATTCTTAATCCCAAAAAGTCTCCTGCTTTCCCTGTTTGTCACGGTCATAGAAAGGCACTCATGCAAAGCACCCTATATTACATATGATTCCATAGAAATCAATTAAAATGAATATAGAAAAACGTATATATCCTATTTTGGTTTAAAGGTCTGTTCCATTTTGGCCTCTTTTAATCCCTAAATTGAAAAAAATAACCATGGTAGACCATTGACCTTCATAATACCTATTTTTTGTCTCTTAAACTTTTACAAAAAAGAATAAAAGAAAAAAAAAAAATCTTGGTCCTCATTCTATTACTCTGTAATAAAAATAAAAATAATCTTGAACTTGCATAGTTCGAATACATGTCTATATTAATAGACAAATATAGACATATAGACAATGTGTTGAAATCAAAATAAATATAAGAACTAAAATAATTACTTCTAAAAGTTCATGTCCAACATGGTGAAAATTCAGGGTCGAAAGTGAAATATTTTTAAAAGTTTTAAGACCAAACTCAAATTTAAACCCAAAAGGGAACTTGGCTAGGGGAATAAGAGAGATGACGCTGCATTATCTAAGTTATATGTTCAGTCACAGTTATTTTTCCAACACTCATACGGACTGGCACCTCTTTTTTTTTTTTTTTTTTTTTTTTTTTTGGCTTAAAATATTATATCTTCAGAAAAAAAAAAAATATATATATATATATATATATATAACTACAGACGCCCGTTAAAAAAATCTTTTGAACAAACCTGAAAATTTAGGTCAGTTGGATTAGTAACTCGAGCAACAAGTGAATTGGGTTGGAGAAATCTTTTCGACGAATCTGTAATTATTTTGTGTCAGTTGGATTAGTAACCAAGCAATCCGACTCAACCCAATATGAAATTGTGTCGGCTAGATTGGTAACCCAAACAAACCGAAAAAAAAAAAAAAATCACAACTGGAATCAACCTAATTCAAATTGGGTTGGATTGGTAACTCAAGTAACTCGAAGAATCTCGACCCAACCCAATTTGAATTGGGTTAGATTGGGTTAAGTTTCAAATGAATTTAAAATTAAAAAAAAATAATAAAAAAATTTTAAAATTACCCGGAATAAACTATAACAAATTAATAATATACAAAAATAATTAAAATAAAAAAATAGAAATTACTTGAATCACACGTTGAGATCTTTAAAAGATTCCATTAATATGCAGCTCACATGGTTTTTCTACTTTTAATTAATTAAGTAATCAAATCCTAATTATTTTAATTAATTTGACCATTCCAACTTCTCGAATTTTAAGAGAAATTCATTTTTTATTTTTTATTATTAATACACAACCAAGGATAATTTCATGGAATCAAGCTTAATTATCCAATCACATTTTACGTTTATTTTTTATTTTTAAATAAAGTTTCAATTTTAATTCAAACATTGCGTTGTGGTCCTTATACTTTAGAATATTGCTTTTTTAGTCCCTTAATAATTTTTCATATACCCTTATTCCCCATCTTTATTGTTAATTTTTTATAATCCTTTTAATATAAATATGTTTGACTAAGGATATAAATTAGTGGCCGATAACGGTTTACGTAAAAGCCTAACATAAAATAACACCCGACTATACATAAATATATCTTTATTTTAAAATTTTAATATTTATTTCATTTTAATCTCTAAACTTTTAAATTCTCCAGTTTTGATTCTCAAACTTTACCCACAAAAAAAAAAAAAATTTAAAAGACCATAATAACACAGGACATATTATATTGTCTATTTTTGTCTGTTACGTATCGTCGTTAGTCTTGCGGTTTTTAAAACACGTCTACTATAGAGAGCGTGTAGCTCTATTCCTAATCGTGTCTTGTGTCACGGTCATGTTCGTCCAAGTCGTGTTGCCTATGGCCACATGCCCATGACAAACCCAACCCTTTATGTCTTTCATATTCTAGTGTTTTACTTTTGTATTTCTAGAAAGTATGACGTTTTAGAAATATTATGTCTCAGAATGTACTATAGGGGAATACGACTAGTTGTCAACTTCTTTCTACCCAAGGTTATATTCTGTGAGTCGTTGTTATTTCTCTCTTGTTTGCTTATATAACGTCTTTTTCAAAAACCACTCTTAAAACTAAGGCCAGAGACTCGAGCATACGTCGTTTGCTCATAGGCGATGCAAAAACGAGTTGGCTTAGCTCACTTGTCGTTGGAAAGTGAGTGTCGCACAATTGCAAGTCTGCTGCTATTAAAAGTGCGATTGTGACACCTTGCACCATTCATTGAATAGCTCTGATACTATTTGTAACAGCTAAAGTCTACTGCTAGCAGATATTGTTTGTTTTGACCGGTTACGTATCGTATAGAATAAAAAATATTAAAAAAAACGATCAAATCAAGAAGAAAAAGAAGGAGTTGGATTAAAACTACTTTGGAAATTGAGAAGCAAAATCCTCACCACCAAATTAATTGAGGATTTGGTCCCCTTTTGAAAGAACACAAAGAGGTGGGGGTTTAATTAATAATAATTTTTTGTTAGTAAAAAAGTAATCACACTTTAATAGCAAGAGGAAGACAAAAAAATTTGGATCATGCCCACCATTATTATCTTCTTAATCTTTCTTAATTATATTTTATTTATTTTGACCGTAACGAATTTTGGAATTCATTCCGGTCGTGACAAATCACAATCACTATACAATGTCAATGTTCGGTTTTTCCTTTAAATAATATCTTTTTGACCGTCTACTTTTAAGATATAATGTAACTGTCGTGTTGTAAGCTCCTTTCGAACATTTTTTTTCGCTATTAAACATTTGAATTCACGTTTTAGTACGAATTGATTTTTTTCTCAAGCTCTCAACGTGTTTGAGAATGAGCGGGCAAATGATTATTTACGGGCAAACGTTTTAGTGTTTCATGCTCGATCGTCAAATAAAAAACAGTAAATTTAAAATTAACGATTCACACCATTGTAAAAACATAGATAG